ACAGATTACAGATCACAATGGTTGAATCGAGGGGTTTTTATGATGTAAACCAAATTTTATTTTATTTTGTGAGGGGGAACTGTTTCAATCCCCCCCTCACAAACATGACCAAATTACGCCACTGGTGCGGATATGTCATCACTATATACGTTCATTCGTTTTGGAGTTACACCAAAAACCAAAATCGATTTTGAGTAAAAATTCAAGGTTTTCTTCATTTTTTTTTGTTCTTCGGGGCGCTGTTGAAAACTACTGGGAAATTTAAATTTTCACCAACTAGATTCACTTTCCTATCAGAAAAGATACTTTTGAAGAAAATCTAAGTATTTTTTCTGTCCTAAAAGGTGACTACAAACAGAAAAATAAAAAACATCATTGAAAAATCAATACAATTATCGCTCCCCTCAGAATCTAAAATATTTTGACTTTTGAACAGTAAACGGACATTTTTAATATCCAATTTTTTGGTTTTTTTTCCCTATTAATGTAAATAAATTTATATTTGTTGGGTCAAAAAGCTTGAAAAATTAATACGATAGGTAGCCGTTATAGGTCTCCGATCAGAATCGGTTTTCGTACATAGATAATGATATAACACGATTGAATTCAAATTTGAACACCATCTACTTGTAACCTACTGTACAGCAGAGCAACTTATTTCACTTACTCGCTTTTTTCATCTCAAGTTTTCCTCATTAAATATTCATTCTACCCTATATTTTATACACAATCATCAAAAAGTGTAATACCTAGATTAATAAAATTAACATAAAAATTGTAATTTTATTTTCATATATAGGTATATAAAGCTATAGCTATTAAAAATATTATGATAACGAGAAACTTACACTTATTGACTTATTATACTACATTCTATATAGACAATAAAATATGTTTGTGTAACATACATGTAACACTGTAACAGTTAGTTTGATAGGGGCATAGGCGCAATTTAAACTTTAGACTTGGGGGGGGGCTTGAATATATTAAAGGCAAGCAGACCATTGCAATATAGCTTATTAAAATTGTATGTCCTAGGTTTTTGGAGGGCTATGGCTAAGTTTGGGGGAGGGGAGCTTAGGGCAAGCTCCCCCAATTTGCGTCTATGAATAGGGGTGTAGGGATCTGTATGCTACAAAATATTTGAGCCCCCCTTAATATTTTACACAATATTTGCCTATGTATATAGTATACCTATAATAAATATCTCAACTTAGTTTTAAAGTACCTTCCCCCAATATACGTCGTTCTGTTTCCTTCCACATCTTGTACCTAGTACAAGATTTTTATGCAGTGTTAAAGCTTGAAAACTTAATACAAGATCTCTTGTATCACTGGAAATTCTTATGTTATTACTGCTACCACTTAGGCACTCGTTGTATTTAATCTATTGACTATTTGTAAAATGAGTCCATATTGATCTTATACACACATAGTCAAATCTTAAATGTGCCTATTATTTTTATATATAACTAGCTAACATTATAGCATGAAATGCATCAAACCAAAATATTTTACTAACTTAGCAACGTAATCTACCTACGTGTCAAATTTAAAATGATTAAAATTCTAAATCACATTTGAATATTACATACAATAGAAAAGTAAATGTAGATATCTACAATAATTTAATGCATAAACAACATAATTACATTAAATTTAATCAAATTATAGTATCTAGATAGTTGCTCAAACACAATAAGTGTTTTAATTGCAAGATGTCTTAACTCTTAAGAACACATTTAACATAAATGTATCGTTATCTAATTAAGTTTATGTACTAAAATATATGTATCAAAACAAAAAGTACAATACATTCTCTACAAAAATAATGATCTCATTTTAAAATAATGATATAATTATCTAGACACCAGCTATAAAAAAACTAAAATATTCACATTTCATGGGTACTGAATATGAGTTTATTTTTTATCTGCATGTGAAATTGAGAATTGAGTTGGATCATATACATGATACATCTGTAATCTAATTACGGATGATTATATTTTATTATAACAAAATAAAATTATCATAATATACTTACATAACTAAATTTATGTGAAGTTTTTGTTAAAAGTTAGTTCAGCCTACCATATTTCTAATAGTAATATTATATTATAAGATTTGTATCTTATTTTATACACCGCTTTATAATTTAATTAAAATTTAATCTTTACATTGACCAACTCAAAGATGAGGTGATGAAGTACACAATCAGTTATTTTTAAGTGAACAAACAAATAAACAACTATGGACTGAACAGTAAACATTTGTACAACTGTACAAGTCTTGTCTAATTGCATGGAATGCAAGTAGCACTTTTGCTATTTTACTGTGGCAAAAAAATAATAGATGAATATGTTAGGTACCAAAATTTTTGCAAATGACAGTATGAGAGTAGATAATGGGTAATAAACTGTATGTAAAATGTAATGGGATTAAATTTAAACCCAAGGCTCATAAGAACAAGTACAGTTATTAAGTGTAACCTATATATACTAAAGATAGCTTAAAGGTGTCTTACTGAATTAGCATTACCTACTTTAGTCTGAGATTATATCTGTTATGAAACAAATTGATTAGTTTTTTGTAGCATTAAAATTATACTTTTGCAGTTTTGCATATCAAATTGTTTTTAAGTAGATATCATGTATTCATTCATTTCATAAAAGTGAACCAATGATGTAAGTAATATTATTTTAGAATTTGGTTCATAACATTGTAAATGATTATAGTAGGACATATAATATTATTTTTTGGAAAAACGAGAATGATTTATTGTATGTACCTTCAGTTTTTTTATGTAAGCTTTGATACAGCAGAATATTTTTATGTATAATTTGATTAAAATTGAGATTAACATAATAATATAGCCATATAGGTAAGTAATATGAACCATTTTATATTTATACACAATTAATACTGAGCATTTTTATCAGACATTTAAAGATATCTTTTAATTTTATAATATTTCTATTATTTTTATTACAAATCCTAGATAGTAGATAATATAATAAATATGTATAATGTTTACAAAACGTATTTATATTGTGCAAAGAAACATGTATATCATACAACAATATCATAAAATATACATTAAAGAGGATATCAAATCCATAAGAGTTGTCTCCGTCTTACAAACACTACACAGTACATGTATAAATGGGTTCGGTGTTAACATTTCAAATTGTTTCACAATTATTTACTCCATATATTTTCAAATTTCCATCAGCCTGTCCATAGCCGTGAGTACTTCATTATAATGTTTTTCTAAAACAAAATAATAATAGTAAATTATTTTTAAAACTAAACAATTTATTTTTAGTTGAATAGATAAATAATAACAATTAATAATTCATGAATAATAACAATTGAGAATAACTAATAAATATCAAGCATCTTTGAACAGATATTACTAGGACTTGGATTTAAATGCCCTTAAAATAACAAAAAGGTGGGCAAGCGGAAGTCGCTCTACTGTACAGTAGGATACAAGTGGGTCACTGTATAATGGATAGTATTAAATTTGAATTCAATGATATAATATCATTAAATAAGAAAAACGATTCTCTAGCGGAAACGGTGATGTCATTTAAAAGGTATTAGACCTATAAAATTATATACTGATCTATGGTATTAAAAAAAAATTTACCTATAAAAGGTACCTATAGTAAATTCCAAATTAATCATATCTGAATAACCATTAGGTACTTTGTACTTATAGCGCGTTATACATCAACAACAAACTGTGATACTATCATAGATATATAATAGTATACTTTAGAAGTTTCAAGTATTCACCAATAAGATTATACAATAAAAACAAAACTAACTAAATTTATGTGAAGTTTTTGTTAAAAGTTAGTTCAGCCTACCATATTTCTAATAGTAATATTATATTATAAGATTTGTATCATATTTTATACACCGTTTTATAATTTAATTAAAATTTAATCTTTACATTGACCAACTCAAAGACGAGGTGATGAAGTACACAATCAGTTATTTTTAAGTGAACAAACAAATAAACAACTATGGACTGAACAGTAAACATGTGTACAACTGTAACAAGTCTGTCTAATTGCATGGAATGCAAGTAGCACTTTTGCTATTTTACTGTGGCAAAAAAATAATAGATGAATATGTTAGGTACCAAAATTTTTTGCAAATGAACGTATGAGAGTAGATAAGGGTTAATCAAATGTATGTAACATGTAATGGATTAATTTAAACCCAAGCTCATAAGACAAGTACAGTTTATTTAAGTGTACCTATATATTACTAAAGATAGCTTAAAGGTGTCTTACTGAATTAGCATTACCTACTTTAGTCTGAGATTATATCTGTTATGAAACAAATTGATTAGTTTTTTGTAGCATTAAAATTATACTTTTGCAGTTTTGCATATCAAATTGTTTTTAAGTAGATATCATGTATTCATTCATTTCATAAAAGTGAACCAATGATGTAAGTAATATTATTTTAGAATCTGGTTCATAACATTGTAAATGATTATAGTAGGACATATAATATTATTTTTTTGAAAAACGAGAATGATTTATTGTATGTACCTTCAGTTTTTTTATGTAAGCTTTGATACAGCAGAATATTTTTATGTATAATTTGATTAAAATTGAGATTAACATAATAATATAGCCATATAGGTAAGTAATATGAACCATTTTATATTTATACACAATTAATACTGAGCATTTTTATCAGACATTTAAAGATATCTTTTAATTTTATAATATTTCTATTATTTTTATTACAAATCCTAGATAGTAGATAATATAATAAATATGTATAATGTTTACAAAACGTATTTATATTGTGCAAAGAAACATGTATATCATACAACAATATCATAAAATATACATTAAAGAGGATATCAAATCCATAAGAGTTGTCTCCGTCTTACAAACACTACACAGTACATGTATAAATGGGTTCGGTGTTAACATTTCAAATTGTTTCACAATTATTTACTCCATATATTTTCAAATTTCCATCAGCCTGTCCATAGCCGTGAGTACTTCATTATAATGTTTTTCTAAAACAAAATAATAATAGTAAATTATTTTTAAAACTAAACAATTTATTTTTAGTTGAATAGATAAATAATAACAATTAATAATTCATGAATAATAACAATTGAGAATAACTAATAAATATCAAGCATCTTTGAACAGATATTACTAGGACTTGGATTTAAATGCCCTTAAAATAACAAAAAGGTGGGCAAGCGGAAGTCGCTCTACTGTACAGTAGGATACAAGTGGGTCACTGTATAATGGATAGTATTAAATTTGAATTCAATGATATAATATCATTGTATAAGAAAAACGATTCTGAGCGGAAACGGTATGTCAGTCTAGGTATTAGACATATTATATACTGATCTATGGTATTAAAAAAAAATTTACCTATAAAAGGTACCTATAGTAAATTCCAAATTAATCATATCTGAATAACCATTAGGTACTTTGTACTTATAGCGCGTTATACATCAACAACAAACTGTGATACTATCATAGATATATAATAGTATACTTTAGAAGTTTCAAGTATTCACCAATAAGATTATACAATAAAAACAAAATAACTAAAATAGTTATTCTAGAGTTTTTTAATATGTAATTTTGTCTAAATTTGAACTTAAAATGACTATAAAAATAAACTGTGTCTATGTATTATTTAGATTTGTTGGTAACAGAATTAACTACTTACGTGGAATCTTGTTTTAAATTTTCAATTCTTAGATATAATAGTTGAACATTTTATAAATTTTTAACTACAAAATAATTATTCAATTTTAAATTTGATCTTTAAATGCTTATAAAAAAAATTGTACCCATGTATTTTTATATTTTTCAACTGCTATTGTAATAACTAATAACATATCAGAAACCTTGTATATACCCTTTTTTGCCCCAACAGATAAAACTTTATTGATATTCATAGAAAATAAAATTTAAATATGAAATTGTCCGTAAACAGCTTAAAACAAGTCAAAATATTTTGAAAATGTTATCAATTATAAGAATTGAGAAAATAAACATTCAGTGAACTTTCATGTATCTACAGTTATTCATTTTTGAATTACAATGAATTAAAGAAAATAGCTACATGAGAATTCGAGTGAATATCCAATGTTGTAAAAATTTGAATTTCAAACGCATATAAAAATTTAATTTGACTTTTTTATAGACATTTTTTTTTGGATAGAGGTAGATAATCTCTTGAGGAAGCTTGTAATACATTTTAAAATCTTAGATTTAAAAAGAACAATTTTTAAGAATTCTTAACTTAAAATAATTTGCTAATTTTTGTCAATTTTTGAACTTTAAATGGTTATAAAAAAAAACTGTGACTATGGAATTTTAATATTTTTCAAATGTCATTGTAACAATATTGTAGGAGCCTTGTATTAAATTTTCAAGGTTTTTTACTGAACAAATAAAGCTTTATTGAAATTCATAGTAAAAAAAACTAATAAAATTGGAAACTCAAAATAATCTTAAACAGTTCAAAACAAATCAAAATACTTTGAAAATGCAAAATGTATACAAAATGCAAATATAAACAACCAGTTAAAATTTAATGTATCTACAGTCATTTGTTTTAAAGTTACTAAAGTCAATTTTGTGTAAATATTCCCATTTTTCCTTAATTTTTCTTTTGTGAAGCTTGGCGCTTTTGATACTTACTCTGAATTTTAAATTTTACCTCCCCAATGGACCAACAATATTCACTTTCCCATCGAACAAGATACTGAAGTTGAAAATCGAAGCATTATTTAGAGTACTTATCATGTACACACACAAGAAAATTAAAAAATAAATAGAAAAAAAAACACACATCATTGTAAAATCAATACATTCATTGTTCCACTCAGAATCTAAAATTGCATTTAACATGTAAAATTATAAGGGAACGTTTATAAATTTAAAAACAGAGTAAAAATTAACTTTGTATTTCACTGTATTACTGTTTTTTACTGTAAGCCTTCAATTAAAGTTGTATGCGGTTAAATTGACTATTTAGTTCATGTGACATAAAGATAAATTTCAGCCTTGTCTAATTTAAAACTAAATTATCTGATGTTATATAGTTTAAAATGAAAATGATTAAAATTAGGTAGTAGGTACTATGCTAATATTACAATGAAGTCAATTTTTTTAGATATGATAGGAGAAATAGACCAAAAATGTCTTAAAAACGTCAAAAAACATAAAATCCGATAATAATGTTGTGATTACAACATAGATTTTTAGAAACACATTACATAATAATATGTAGCTTGGAAAGCATTGGGTAAGACACTCTAAAAAAACATGCATATATTATGTCCAATATGATAAACTTAGGGCCAGTTGTACCGTCTACGGTTAAACTATGATTAAGCTGAATCAGCTGATAACAGATATTTAAACAGGCAAATTCGGCCGATTAAACTTTGATTAACTTTAATCATAAATGATACAACTGGCCCATAGCAATATTATGATCATTAAGCGGTTAAACTTGGATGGAATGAGTAGTTCTTATTATATGAAAGGTTAAGTAGGTAGTATACAATTATAAATTATTATTATTTATTATATATTGAGTAAATTAAGTTACCTCCAGATGGGACCTTAAAACTACCGCTTATCAAACAGTCTTTAAGTTCACAGCCAGCACTGATTACAGCATCATGACATACTATACAATTTTGAAGTACACATCTGAAATTTCCAAAATTTTTCAAAATTTAAATTTTTATAACATAAATGTTTATTTTTTTCTTAAGAGAATGTCATTGCACTATTAGCTTTTTATTTCTGGTCCATGTGTAACATAGCAAATTTTACATTCACAATAACGATTATAATAATATAATCATAACAATTTCTTAAACTAGAGTGAAATACCTCTTATAAAATTTAAAGGTAAGATTATTATCCAGGGCATCTCATGGGCTTTTTATTATATTTTAATTTTATAGCAAGTTATGAGTATTTCAAGACATATAAACAATTTTAAAATACTCAATGGTTAAAATTAAAATATAATTTAACGTCTATGAGATGCCCTAGATAATAACTTACCTTTAAATGTCATAAGAGGTATTTTACTCTCGTTTTAGTAATTATTATGGTTATCATCATTATTGTGAAAGTAAAATTTGTTATGTTGCACATGGGTCAGAGAGAGAAAACAAATTAGTCATATTGTTATACGATTGTAATGAGTTGTAATTATTATATAATGAATATTCTGTCTCGTTAAAGCCTGACTTGGGGGTTGCAATGTGCATGGCTAACGAGAACTGAATACTACAGTCCTGCGAGGACTTCATCAACTGCTCCCTAGCTTGTGTTTTATGAGATTAAGATGGAACAGTTTAGCAGATGATCGTTGGAAACAAAAGCTAATGACAATCAAATTGGCAAGGAGTATAATCTGACAAAACTAAAATAAAATCCATTATGTAAGAGATAAATGAGACATAGTATACATGATATCAGAATATTACGAACAGTCACTTAAAGCAAAAATGTAATTTAAATAGGGACTATATTGATATAAAATAAATGTATTAGGAGTATTATATGTTAATGTAATATATTTGGAAATCAAGTGTAAAATTTTATGTTAATTTAATGTAATATGTATATTTTAAATAATTGTAAATTACTATTAAGATGACGTGGCACCCACATGTGTTGTCTCCAATACAAGACGTAAAATCTTTGTATCAAATTATTAAGTTGCAAAGATACAAGTGCGTAACATACCAAATTTTACGCTCAGCATATCACGTTAGCTCCGTTAGTTTAAACCTTAGATTGACCTCTTATAAAATTTAAAGTTAAGAATATTATCTTCTTAAGGGATTTTTATTATATTTTAATTTTAAATTTACAGAGCTAAATGCGATCTGTTGAGCGTAAAAATTGACACACATGTAAGATGGAGTCAACGGTACTACATACTCTAAATAAAAAGTAAAATCTCCAAAATTATGATATGATGAGTTCTTTGATACAATAATAATAAATAATAATATATATTTATTGTAAGAATGGATTATTAATCTCTAAGACCCTAGTTATATCTTATATTATGTAAACACTGCACATAAAAACTACCAAACTATCTGCCACTGGAGATTTTTGGTCACAATCTGAAATTGTTGAGAGGATAAATTACCTCTCTTCAATGGTAACACCATTCATTAAAATACAATCAGTTATTCTAGTTTTTGAATTAATTGTACATCTTGAACCAATAGTGCTACTTTTAATGGAAGTTTTCTCCATTATCTTGGTATTAGGCCAACAAACAAGTCTCCTTGTCAAATTGATTTGATAAAATTTCAGCTTCAGGTGAAACTTTATCTTTTTCTTCCCCTAAAGGAATGTTTAACTGGTGAATCTACAAACAAATGAAAAATTATACAACATGTTAGTAAAATTATTTTTGCTTATTACTTACAATTTTATTGACTCTACAATAATCATACAAAGTGTTCGCGCGTATTCCAATATTTGAATCAATCACACAAGCATAACATTTAATCATCTCTTCAAAGTTAGTTGTATTACCAAAACAAGACATTGAACGAATTTTAGTTTCAATATCAGATTCTTTTGATATGTTAAATATATCAGGTTTTTCATCTTCTTCATCTTCAATACACTTTTCATTTGGTTCAATGTTTTTACAATGTTTTGATAGTTGTTTTTTCACTACAAATGGAAGTAGCTCTCCTTTAAGGGTTGAAATATTACTAAAATAAATAATAAACAATAAAAATTAGTTATTATATCTACATAATAAGTGTAAAATAATTAAATAAATAAAAATAATTTAACTTACACATCTTTTACAAGATAGTTAACTAGCCAACGTTTCATAATATACATATGGGAATCTAATAATTTTGAGCAAAGTTTCAAATTTGAACACTTATTTAGCAATGAACTACTGATTGGCATAGTTTCTTCATAATCTGAAGCTGAAGCCATTAATAATAGTCTAGACGTTTTTGAATCGTATCCAATAATATCTTTTTCTATAACATTTTATATTAATTTGAAAATCAGATAACATATTACATGTAAAATAATAAAAATACAGTAAATACTGTGTCTAATAGCATTATTTCTCCTTGTTATTGATTTATTACATTTTTAACCATTTAATTTTTGAAAATCAAAGTTGTATTATTATTTTTAATATTTTTATTTCAATTGTTTTCTAAATATTTTGATGTAACATCAATCAAATGGTTTGTTAATACTTAATTATAATAATATTAAGTTTAGTTTAAAGTATTTAATTATAATGTTCCGCATTTCCTAATTTTGAAATGTTTAAATTAAATTGTAGGTTGGCTATTGGAAGATTAATAATATGAGAAAAGTATCAAAACGTTGAAGAAATATGTAATATAAATTAATAATTATACAAGGAGTTGTAAAAATGGCATGGGTAATGTAGTTATTGGGTAGTGACACCAGATACATATTATTATTATGAAATATGGCTTTACCAAACTTATTCTTTGATTTAAGGCCAGGTACAGTAAAAACACATTGTTCATCCTGCGATGGTGAAAAATACAAAGATACTAAGGACGCATTATTATTTCTGTAGATATTTAAGACTTGGTGTAAATCAACATCAGTTATTAAATCACAACTAAGAATGATGACATCGGTCTGAAAAATAAACAAAAATATTTAGTAAATAATTGATATAATGTACCTAGTACATATATTTACTAATTTACTTATTAATAATAAATTACTAGGATATAATCAGAGATATGTCGGAGAGAATCAGCTGTACCCCAATCTTCATCAGATGGAATTGGAACATTTCAAAACCAAGGTGATCCACTTCTTCTTGTATATCACTAGCATAGTTATCTGCTACTATTATTTTTGTATCTAAAACAATAATGTGACATTTTAGAAAAAAAACATAAGATTAAAGAGATTATTTTATCATTGACTACCTACCTACCTGTACAAAGATAAAGATAGATTTCTCATCAAATTTTTATTAATTTATCATCTTAAATTATTGAATTAGTAGGTACCTATATTATTATTTTCCTTTATATCTGGATTTAACTAGTATTTTTTTTAAATTGGTTATGATTTTTAATAAAATGTGACAATTATTATATTGTTACTCTTAAGATGACGCCACGCCCAAATGTGTTGTATCCATCATACAAATGCATAACCATAGAACAATAGAAGATTTACGTTTAACAGATCACATTTAGCTAAGTTAGTTTAAAAATTAGAGTGAATCAACCTATTATGAAACTTGATGGTAATTATCTATTTTCATATTTTAACTGTTTAGCAAGTTATGGGTAGGTATATAATACAGCGTAAATTAAAAATACTTATAAATAATTTAAAAACAGAATAATTGTACAAAACCAACGTACGAACACAGATAATGTTCTTGCTATAAATTTTCACACATGCGGTTGTGGCGTCCTCTTAAAGTGATAAAGTCAATAATTAACATAATGTTAATAATATGTGATGATAAAACAGTATCCTTTTCACATATGGGTAGGTTTAGTCAATGTAAACAAGCGTCCGGCACCAAATACCAACATGTTATAACACTACCTATCTACTCACCTCTGAACCCGGCGTTCTCTAGAAGCTTAAGCGGATAGTATATCATCGGCTTATTTCCGACCGGCAACAGACACTTTGGTTTCGTAGCCGTCATCTCGGGTATCCGGGACCCTTTGCCAGCGGCCATGACAACCGCTTGGAATTCTAACCAATTTTGCATGGTGAATGGCTATTGTTGAAGAAAGGGTTCGATACTGTCAAAGGTTAGTCAAGCCGTCAAGGGCTAGTGGCTACACAAGTCACGATTCACAAGCTCACGAATCTATGGAGATGAAGTTACAAAGTCGTAAGAATCTGATGCGACGATATCAGTGAAGTTAGCTCCCGGACGTTTAGCACTTATCAGTTATCAATTCTGATAAGGTAGGTAACCGTATTCCTGTATACTATATTGCCTATTCATATCTTCTTAGGAGTCTTAACAAAAATATTTATTTTTCAGATATACCTAATTCAAGATAGATGAATGATAATTATTATAATTATTAAGATTATAATATTATTAAATATTAATCCCACCAAAAACATATATGTAAAATGAGAGCCAAGTTCAATACTATAATATATGCCTTGGTTGTTGACTTCAACGACAAAAGAAGTGAGATCTAAATGGGTGCCAAGTTAGGATAATATATTGAAGCCTAAGGTGTGACTTGGCTACTTTTCATATACGAATTATTATTATAAGTACCTACTAAAACAGTAATGGAAGAGTGAAGATGATTTTCCGATGAATAAAATAAGAACTCAAAGCTTTAGAACTTGCAAATGCTATAATATATAATTCATAGCCAAGTCAGACCTATAGGCTTCAATATATTATCCTAACTTGGCACCCATTTAGATCTCACTTCTTTTGTCGTTGAAGTCAACAACCAAGGCATATATTATAGTATTGAACTTGGCTCTCATTTTACATATATGTTTTTGGTGGGATATCATTACTTTTTGTATGTAAATTATTATAACCTAACCTAACCTAGCCATGACGTATTCTATAAATAAAGTTTATTACTATATAATATAATTCAGTTACTAATATTAATAATAATATTTATTATAAAATATTTTCCGTTGTATATACAGAGTATAAAATATATGTAAAATTAAATTAATATACAATTATTTTAACTCTTTTTGAGTATATTTTTAATTATCATAATTTTATTGACTGTAGTTTCTACTGTTGGGTGGATAATTCATAATTTGTAAGAATAATTATTTAATTATTTTAATTGTAATATTTAAAAAAAATAATATTAATTACATACATAGATAGAAAAAAAAGTATGTCGCTGCGCGCGGGTCGACAATATCGATACCGATACATATTCGGCTAGTCGTATTTTTGGAGCGGCGATACGGGAAAGGTTATTTAAGTCAACATTACATTACATTACATTAAATTAGAGGCAATTCATTAATAAATTGAAAAATTAAACATAATAGATAAAATAATTGCAAAATTATAATAAAATCAATTGATTAAAAATTTAAAAATTAAAAAATTAAAAATTAAAAATTAAAAAATTTTAAATTAAAAATTTTCAAGTTTCTGATTTTTTCATTTGTATTTACCTAACTACCTATCTGTATGCCAAATTTGAACTTTCTAGGTCATCTGGAACTGGGTTAGAATTTTGATCTATAGGTAAGTCAGTGATAAAAATGACGATTTTCGGACGTTAATATCTAAATAACGGTTTGAAGTGTGTTTATGAAATTTAGAGCACATATGTATCTCGTTAGTCTCAATATATGAGCCAAATTTGACATGGTTATGTGGAATAGTTTTTGAGTTATGAGGGGGTCAAAAGTGGCTCCAAATGGTTCGTGTAATATTACACACGGTGCTGCTCGCCAGTTCTGTTAGCTAGAACTTGGCTTGACACGCTACCGCGTGTCTAGATAAGTGATATGTCATACTATATTAATGCAATTAATAAAACAAACAAAATTCTGAACTACCTAGTATGAATATAAATTATAATTCCATAAACATTGATAATAATTAAATTTTTTTTTTGCAAATATTGGATTTCATAAACAGTTATTGTTTTTACTATTTTGAGTAAATAAATCTAATTTGAGTAAATATATACGATTATATCATAGTACAATGTATTCATGAAAACAAAAAAAAAATCAACTGCAAGTGATATACATCTTATAATGTAAATTTAGGCATCAATAGAGTGCAATAAAAACAAGATGAATAAAATATTGAAAAATATTGTACCAAAATGAGAATAGAAAACGCTAAACCTACAATAATTACAAAAAGTATTAAGATCTTCTACAGGTGCATTTCAAACAGTCAAATCAAATCAGCTTTAAGGAAAAAATTTATATTATCCGACAATAACCCTAACAATAACAATAACCCAATTAACCTAACCAACGGTCTATAATATTATTCAAAACTAATTTAACATAATTAGAATAATTAACTATATTAACTATATTAACTAGATTATATATATTATATGTGTTAAAGACCTCGCATAATGATCATAAATTAATAATTATCAAACTTTTACAAATAGCTTTTAAAAAATAACATTTAGTACCTATTCTTGGAATAACTTGATAACAAATATTTTTGAATACAATTGTATGTCCCAATACTGCCAGTACACATAAAAAGGGGATATATCATTAATTGTTCACTACCCTGTTAATGAACATTACAAATAACAATCCTCCTTAGTTATTAAAAGTTAAAACAAATCCAATTTAACACCCCACATAATTTAGTAGACACAAGGATGATTCTACTATAAAGAGCATTTTGGAGGGACGACTCAGCATGAAAAACAAAATGTATGTACACCGAACTATATTTAATTGAGAGGGCATCAAATAAAAATTCGGAATCTGTAGTTTTCCAAGAAGGCCACGGTAGACTTAAATTCCAGGATTATAAAACGATATCAACCATATGATTTTTGGATTTACGTGCCATGCGGCTGCGAAGTTGGTCTAATAGGACGGCTTTTTCAAAACGAACACGGTAATTTATGTTTTCCAGACCATTTTAAGGCGAAAGAGCATTCAGCATAGATTTGAAATTTGTAGTTTTTGGATGGGGCAATCAGGGGACTTAGAAGCGGCCTCTAGAAAAATAAAAGTATATACATATTATACGACTTTCATGACATACAGGTAAAGCTGCCACGTGGTATACTTAAAACAGATTTTTCGAAATTAACACCCAAAATGCTATTTGTCAAATAATTTTTAATCGAAAGGGCAATCAACGCAGATTCGAAATTTGTATATTTTGAAGGGGGCAATCGGCGGACTTGGGCTCCAGAAAAATAATAAGATTGCAACTATATGATTTTTACGATATTGCCGGATTTTGACTGTGCAGCGTACTTAGAACGGCTTTTTCGAAATGAACACCCAAAATTCTACTCGTCAAACCATTTATAATCGAAAGGGTAACCAACGCAGATTCAAAATTTGTATATTTCGAAGGGGGCACTCGGCGGACTTGAGCTCAAGAAAAATAATACGATTAAAACTATTAGATATTTATGAGTTTAAGGGCGAATTGGCTACGCTGTGTACTTAGAAAAGATTTTCGCAAACTGGACATATTTTATTAAATAATTTTATATTTTATTGTTTTATTGACTTCAATCATAGTCATTGATCAGTTAGTCAGTCACTGTTCAAAAACCATTTTGACTCCATGTTTGCATACAATTATAATTTATATTAATAGGTATTATTCAATATAAACAATTATTTTAGCCCTCAACAATTTACTATTTTTGATCTATATTTAATATTATATTATTATAATACTAGACACTTGACATTTTCTAGGCATCTTCGTATCATCATGTAAGGGTGCACTATAAGTAAGAATTTTCCAAAATTCTCTTTGTAAAAAAGTGATCACGCAAGGATTTTTGAGTTTCACGATGGATTACAACTTTTTTAGATTCTGAGTGAAACGATGAATGTATTGATTTTACAATGATGTGTGTTTTTTTTTATTTTTTATTTTTTTTTGTGTCTGTCATCACGTTTTAGGACAGTAAAAGTGCTTGGATTTTCTTCAACAGTAGCTTTTCTGATAGGAAAATCTAGTTGGTACTTTGGGGGGGTCAAAAGTAAAAATTTCCTAGTAGTATTCACAAGCGCCGGGAAACCCAACATAAAAATTAAAGAAAAACGGGAATTTTTACGCAAAATCGGTTTTCCAAAAAATTGATTTTGGTTTTTGGTGTAACTATAAAACAAATGAACGTATATAGATGAAATTTTCACTGGTTGTTTATATTTGCATTTTCTATACACGATAACATTTTCAAAATATTTTGATTTATTTTGAACTGTTTAGGGACATTTTCATTTTCCATTTGTTTTTAGTTTTTTTTCTAAATATATCAATAAAATTTTATTTTAAAACTGATGTTCAGTGCATAATGCGTGATATTGCCACATTTAATGTCAATGCAAAACTTGGTAAATCATGTTCAAGTCAAAACGCATTATTTCCCATGTTATTTGAATTAGGGCATACTTGTTAGATAATCTTATAAGGAATCTTGTATCACATTTTAAAATCTTAGATTTCAAAAGAAAAATTTTTACGAATAACTCAAAATAATTTGCTAATTTTCGTGATTTTTCCATATTTTGTCAATTTTTGAACTTTAAATGCTTATAAAAAAAAACTGTGTCTAAGGATTTTTAATATTTTTCATCTGCCATTGAAACAATATTGAATATACTAGGAGCCTTCTATTAAATTTTCAAGTATTTTTACTCAACAAATAAATTTTTATTGATATTCATAAAAAAAAAAAATTAATAAAAATGGAAAATGAAAATGTCCCTAAACAGTTCAAAATAAATCAAAATATTTTGAAAATGTTATCGGGTATATAAAATGCAAAAGTAAACAACCAGTGAAAATTGCATGTATATAAGTTCATTTGTTTTAGAGTTACACCTAAAACCAAAATCAATTTTTTGGAAAACCGATTTTGAGTAAAAATTCCCGTTTTTCCTTAATTGTTATGTTGTTTTTCCCGGCGCTTGTGAAAACTACTGGGAAATTTGACCCCTCAAAGTACCAACTAGATTCACTTTCAATAAGAAAATAAGAAAAGCTACTGTTTAAGAAAATCCAAGCACTTTTACTGTCCTAAAACGTGATGACAGACACAAAAAAAAAATAAAAAAAAAACACACATCATTGTAAAATCAATAGGTACATTCATCGTTTCACTCAGAAACTAAAATAGTAAAATTGTCTATATTATCTTATATTAATTTTACAGTAATTATTTTTTAATTTACTTATATTTAAAGTTCAAACTATTTTTGTATAACTTTTGTTGGTAAGACTAATTAAAAATTGATTTGTCCAACTTTGAGTAACTTATATAACAGAGTTCAATCAAGCGTTTATAATAATTCCACTCATTTAATTTTGAGGAAATATAAGGCATTCATATTCAGTTTTATTTAAGAATATGTCTATGATGTATTACTCTATGAGCAGTGTAATAGCTAATAATAATTGGGTATTATGGTTTGTTGATAAAATGAGTTTGTCATGGAAAACTATTATAATATAGTTGTAGTAATTAATAATGAAATTGCAAACAGTTTTGTTTGTATATAAAATGTTTACTATACATATTATTATGTGTGTGTAATATAGTTTAGGTGTAAAAAAGAAAAAATGCGGGTTTTTAGGCCTACAGGGGATCTTTTTAGTTTTTACTGCTTTAAAAATCTTAAAAGAAACGAATCTAAATGCAATACCTCATGGGTGGATTTAGAAATTTGCATTAATAATATATTGTTGGCACAAATAAGTAATTGAAATTGTGAACCACAATATATTATATAGGTAGTGTTAAGGTATAATTTTAAATATACCAAAAATATGTGCAAATAATGATGTACCTAAATAATGTTAAACAGTAGTGTACGTAAGTTATGGCCGGGGCAGGGGGGGGGTTGAATATGTTAATAGGTATTTATATTTATTTAACATTGTGTTGATTAAATGTTAAATGATAAATATTTTAAACATATAAACCCATTGAACATTGAATCACAATGTTACTTATGATGAATTAATAAATAAAAATGAATTATATCATTACATGCTTTGGTTTTTTAAGTAAACAAATTAATGTAAATATTTGTACACTTTATTTTATTAACAATTATATTTTTATTATAAATATGTATTTGCAAGTTACATAAGTGGTATAAAGATGATTTTAAAATTTTTTTGGTTATTTAGGTATGTAATTTTTACAATAAATATAATACATCAATAAAATTATAAAACAACATAAAACTAAACAAATAATTATTTTAACCACATTATGTACTTATTACTTGAAAAATTGGAGATTTTTGTTGTGATAATTCCATCTTCAGGTAATTTGTCTGTAAATATACATACATACAATATTGTATTTAATAAATTGTTTTTTGTGTTATTAAAAAAAAATATTACAGATTAATTATAATAATACAATTATAAAAAAAATTAGGCCTTCCAAACTAATGATTTAAATAAGTATAAGAAATGGTTTATCTCTGGACACTATGGTTTGTGGAAGAAATGAAAGATTGATTTTGAAATATTTATAAGTAACTATCATTTACATGGTATTTATAAGTTAAAATAATAAATGTAACTTTAAATAATATTTTCAAATAATCAAAAACATCATGCATGATATTGACTGCACAATCTAACTAATTTATAATATAGGCGTTTTTATTCTTCGGCGTCATTTATTTTGCCAATTCCACATCCATCACATGGTTATAGGCCAGTGATGAATAAACTCAAATTCTTGTCTCTAGCAGATAAAAGAGTTGAAGCTAATTTGGTATTTGTGCACAAGCTGATTGATAGACGTGTGGATGCTCCCTCTCTTCCTTCTCATTTTAAATTACCTTCTTATTTAACTAGGTCTAATTCTTACTATGTTGTTCTATTCCACAACACCAACTATTATAGAAATAATCCCATTCACCATATGATGTACATTAGTAACAAGCACCTAAGTTTCTCTTAAAATGTTTTGATAAATAATAGTACTGCAATCTGTTGTTACTATTTTTTAGTTATTATTTTTTTCTATTGTATTGTTAACTTACTTTAATAATTATGTTATATTGTTCATATTTATTTATTACTATAAATTGTATTGTACTTATAAATAAATGAATATGGACATAAAACACTATAATATAATATACATATTGTAATAAATTGATAACTGTCTTTTTCTTGTCTTTTGTTTATAATTAAAATTAAATTAAATTTTAGTTGCCCCTAATAAATTTAGTAAATGCAACTTAATATAGCTGGTATTAACCTTTTTCTTAGCAGTGGTATAGGAGCTAACTAGGAAGGAGCTATCTTCACAGCTATGATGCGACGGGCCACTCTGGCGATTAGAACAACAAACCTAACTGAGATTGTATGTCGTGTGATAATGGCACCACCGAGATAACCGTTATCAGCCGCAAAGAGGACGACGACGCGAGTACGCGACGTTCCAGCGGAAGACGACGCCGTTGCAGCAGCACTGCAACAGCTGACGACTGGACAACGGTTCCGTTCCAGCTTGCAGCCGTCAGTGTCCATTCAATCACTTTGGCAGCGGCCAGTGCGGCCACGGGACTGGAAAGTGGATAATATACGATAGGTTTTCTCGAGCGAGGCGAGGGAAGAACGTAATGATTTATGGCGCTAAGGCTTAGCCCCATAAATACTAAAATAACCGGGCGGTCGGCAACACTGCACGCAGTTGCACCTTTCGGGAACAATGGACTCGGCGTATTGTAATGTAGTAGTGGTCTGACTAGGGAAGAGAGAAAGCCCTACCAGTGTTGGCCAGTTCCACCTCCGACCTCCATAGATATCCGATATCCATTATTTTTTATTATTGTTTGGTGTACAGTACTACAGTAGGTCTTTTCCCTCTGTGTACCTTGCCCATTGCGACTCCACCGACCGATAACAAAGGACGTTCGAAACACGAAATGGATCCGAAGACGCGTTCGTGATAATCGTCTTGTGTCGTCGTCTACAGCAACACTCGTCGTCCTAGGGCATCCAGAGCAGACAGCGCCAGCCGCGGCACGTATAGTCTCTCCGCTCGTCGACGTCGCTGCCACCGCCGTCATGACTGTCGTCACAGGGTGATCGGGGTCAAAAACCTCTTGTTCCAAGGGTTCAAGGTTGTCGCATCGCTCCTGACCGACAGAGGCTACTACCACGAATTACGATGCGTTAGCATTATAGGCCCACTGCACACACACACACACACACACACACACACATACACGCGTACACACACTCTCTCATACTCACTTATTGTCATTACGAACAGTCTCCCACGGCGCACAGCACAACTGTCTACCACATAGGACAATCGGTGTGTACCCTTTGTGTTCGGTGTGTTTCTTCTGAAAGCTCTGTACGCACTACCCATCCAAACTGGCGCATCCAGTTTTGCCCAGACGTTCCGGCAACGTCCATCACGATGGTCGACCTCCCCTCATCGACGACAACATCCTGGCTCTGTGGCACGAGAACGACCGTTACTCGTTTGAGGACTCGGACCGGTTCGAAGAGGATTCACTGTGTACGTGGAGCAGTGAACCCGAGTCTGCTTGCATAAACTGGAGAGGATGGAGGAAACCGACCGAACTGAACACCGAAGATGGTTAGTACTGTAAAACTATAAAATAAATACTTTCGTGTTTTAAACGGGCATGCTACTTGGTTGGTCATTTCTTTTATTAGGTATTTGACCACTAATTTCTGATGATTTTACATACTTTCGAGCCTATTTTATATATCTAGTTGAATTCGTATTGATTTATTAATAGAGAACTACCTAGTTAGGTAAATAAATTCCAATTGGTAAGTTCCAATGAATGCATACAGATTAGTAGATAACCAAATATCTATTTAAAATTCCATACCTTTCAGTTATTTTTCAAATTTTCTATCTTAGAGCTACCTACGTAAATATAGCCTTCATTTTTAATTCATAACCAAAACATTTAGGTAAGGTCAAACTAAGTACATGCTCAAAAGTGAAATGCAGAGTGATATATATTATATATATATTATATACCTACCTATATTATATAAAAATCTGATTTTAAAAATATAAATTGTTACCCCATCTACGTACAATTTACCTATTGTTTGTACTCTAAATTTTAGAAACAAAATTTAACCCATAAAATTAGAATAGGTAGATTGTAATCCAATTTTCTGAGAAATTCACCAGCTATAAAGTGTGAATAGGTTTTTTAATTTAGGAATAGGTAGGTATTTAAGATTTCAAGTATATTAATTAGGGATGATATAACATTTTTAGGTTTGGTCCCGACGAATTAGGGAGACCCAATATAATTTATATCTATTTTTTTAGATTGCCTTCACAAAAAAATAGAATGGGGTTCCAATTTTTTTTCTTATGATTTTATAAAAGTACTATTTTCCAATAGATATATTTACTAGTTTAAATAAAAGAATCGTGATAAACCTAATCTATTAAATGAGCTATAATTATATTATTATTATTACATATGATAGGTTTAAGTTTTTGCAAATCGAAAGCTTTGGCTATTCGGCAAGTACCTAAATAAATATTGCATAGTGCGTAGAGAAAAATACATTTGTACCTTAAGTTTTGAAGTTTATAAATGATCTAGGTATTTATTTATAATTTTAAAATGTAGGTATTGCTATTTTCCAAGTTTTTGATAGCAAATATTGACCAATTCATTTTTAATTGTTTTGTTCTAGTTATAATAATAAATAACCTCGTAAATAACTAAAAAGTATAGGAATGTAGTTTGTACCAGTATAATGTTTCAAGCTCGGTTTCAAGCAATGCAAACTATCTATTTGTACCTTAACAATAAAAATCATTTCATTTTTAATAATTAATGCAAATCCCACATTTTCTTTAAAAAAATGGTTCGAATATTAGGTAATTATTAAATATTGGCTATTATTAGGTACAAAGCAGTGATAAATATTAAATGATTTAATAATGTACTAGATATTTTAGAATTAGATGATGATTATTATTTTTGTATAGGAGAAAACGTGTATCAGGCTCAGTATTAGGTACACTTTTTTAGTACCAATGTCCTACCTATTAATGACCTAGTTACTGTTTTCCATGCTTCTGCCTTCTGGTTCACACATTGATAACACTTGCAATTTAAATGTAGTTTTACAAGTTTTATTGAGTATTTACAGTTTTTCTTTTATTATCCAAATAATTGTGCCTACCTATTTATTATTTAAAAATTCTAAATTTGTGTGTAAAATAATTAAAATAATATAATATAGTAAGTCAAAGCAAACAGAACAGTTGATATTTTAAAATTATTTAAATAGTTCTAGGTATTAATAATAAGATAAATCAACTTCAATTTGCAATTATGACCTAATTTATTTCAATATGCTGTATTGAGTTATTAAATTGCTTAAATTCAAATTATATTGGGTTTGGTATTTATGTTTAAAATTACATGAAAAGTAGTTAATTTCTATTATTTTGTTTCATAATGTATACCCACTATTATTATTATCTCATTATTTATAGTTATTTATTGATTAGTTATTACTTGACTTACATGACATAATTTAAGTTAAGCAGTGTATATAAGTTACATATTAATATATTATTATGAATGGTTAATGGGTGGCGGATCCAATATTTTTTCACGGGGGGTGCTAAGGTTAAGATCTCGTATTCTGTATACTCCATCCTGATGGCAAGATTTTTTTAGTTCTCAAAATGGGAATGTCCCCAGACTACTGAAAAATACATGTTTTTAAGAGTATTTGTTATCTAGGAAGCAACATGCCAAGTGGGGGGGGGGGGCTATAGCTCTGTGTTGTAGGTATTGAGTTATACAATTGTTTTGAGATCCTGCTATCTTGACCACGATACTATATTTTTGGTGAAAGGACATTATCTCCATGAAAAATTTTAGTCCAAAGAGACATTTTCTTTCCATGTTTATTTTATGTACCTATGGATATTGTAGACCAGTGGTTTCCAACTGGGGCGAATTTAGATAGTGTACGAGGGTGATAATGAAATAACCAGAATTTTGTTGTTAAAATAATTATCCCATTTTACAATCAGTTAAATTGAAAACAATAAATTAATTTTACTTAGGTAGGTATAATATGTAATTATTATTTATAATGTTTATAAAATAATACCTATTCAAATATTTAAAAATAATATTATTATTTATTAAGTTGATAAATATTTTATTTTTAAAATTATGAAAAAAAGAAATACACCATTAGATGTACAATTTAATATTATGTTATTTTGTATCATTAAAACAAAAAAAAAAGTCGCCTAAACTCTAATTTAAGGAGGGGGTTCGAGATTTTTGAAAATTTAGAAGGAGAGCCGTAGAATAAATTGAATTGGGAAATACTGTTGTTGGCTGTATAGATTCAAAGCCTGACTATTGTCACTTACTGGAATATATTTTTTCTCAAATTGTTAATCCTGATATTATAACATTGTGGTAAACGAACGTTTCGTCCTCGTAAAAAAACCAGTCCACTTACGTTTCGTTACCGTATAAAAAACCAGCCCACAGACTATTATTATTCAATTATTAAGATAATTCATAATCTATATGACCACATATTATAATACTTTAATACCTATCTTAATGAAAAAATGTAGTATCAATGTACTATTGTAGATTGTAGGTTACTATTTGATCAAATGTTTTATTTAGAGATGTTGGGTTGACATATTATTTATGGCCTTATGGGAGATGTTATGAACTGACCTGAATTTTCCGGTTTCTATCTCATATTTATAGTGCACAATTTTTGTCTACATGAAGTTTAAGTTATATTAATATATTATATAACTAGATGTGGTTGTTAGTTAGGTCTTAGGTACCTACTCATAAAATGTTTTCAGCAATTTTCGAAATTAAATTAGTGTTTTTTATTTAGATAATGTTTATTTTTACTGATATATTCTATTTCAAATGTTATGTAATTAATATAATTATTAAAATAAAAAAAATGAAAAGAGTGTAACAAATTATAAAAGAAATATTATGGACCTTATTTTTTTAATACAATGAGTCAATTTGATATCATTTTTTTTTTATATAGTACCGTAATTTTTTTTCGTATTACACAATAATAAAAATAACTAAACAAATTACATGGGGAGGGAGGCCTACCAGTGAAGTAATCTTTAAACTTTGAAGCGGAATTCCTTATTTATTTTTATTCAATAACAACCGTTCAAGACACCAGTGTCTTATTTATCAATGGGAAGGAAGTGTATGAGGGGTTGTGATGTACATTTTAATAAAATTTTATAATTTTTCATTTGATTTCTTATAAATAAATCTTTTGATATTATATAGATATAATATAGGTATTGACTTAAATAATTATATTTAAAACTGTGTACTTCTGTTACCATTTATCTCTTTTAATATTATTCTATTGAACATAATATAGGAAATCCAAAATACAAATAAATTTGTTTGAGATTTTTTCGAGATCTATTTGGTTGTTTTGGGATGTTAGTGAGTGTGGGGTCATAATTTGACGAAAGAATTGCTGTGTTGCCACTCGTCGGCTTAGGTGGCTATTAAGGTGTTTTTGGAGTTGAGAATATCTGCTGTGAAAATGTTATAGAAGTCTGGTAATAAATCATTCGTGTACTCTTGAC